GGATTCACATTTATGATAATTAATGACCGAATGTGACATAAAACCGCTCTCTCTTCAACCAGGCCTTGCCCCAATTGAAGGGTTTTGAAGAGCTGCAAATCAAGGGGCTGGGAAAGGTTATTATTTACTAGCCATCCCCTGCCATGCCTTGCTGTGGCCCAGCCTGTCTATATACGTTTTTTGTATGTTTACATGATGTGTATATGTGTGTGTGTTATAGACATGTGTTATGTATATATGTGTGTATATATTTGTGTATATATGTATGTTTGCGTATATATGTGGTCTTGTGCATGCATTGTAATGTATTTTTTATTTTTTTGGCTTTTTAAGTCCCTTCCGCTGTGTTTTTCAGTGCTTTTATGAGTGATGGTCACTCGTTGACCTGATAGGTATATTGTGTCCAAATTTGGTGTCAATTTGTCCAGTGGTTTTTGAGTTATGGTAATCTCACAAACGAACATTACATTTTTATTTATATAAATTTATTTACAGTATTTAACTCCCTGGTGGCGCAGCGGGTTAAACCACTGAGCTGCTGAACTTGCTGACCAAAAGGTTGGCGGTTCAAATCTGGGGAGTGAGGTGAGCTCCTACTGTTAGCCCCAGCTTCTGCCAACCTAGCAGTTTGAAAACATGCAAATGTGAGTAGATCAATAGGTACCGCTTCTGCAGGAAGGTAACAGTGCTCCATGCAGTCATGCTGGCCACATGACCTCGGAGGCGTCTACTGACAACCCCAGCTCTTCGGCTTAGAAATGGAAATGAGCACCAACCCCCAGAGTCGGACACAACTAGACTTAATGTCGGGGAAAACCTTTATGTTTAAGTACAGTATTTATATTCCACCACTTCTCACCCTGGAGGGGACTCAGAGCAGATCACAAAACACATACACGGAAAACATTCAATGCCATTATACAATGACAAGACAGACAACTTTACATAGCTAGAGATATATCTAGGCTTTCCCATCTTCGGCATCTTGGAGGCTGTACTCAGTTCTGGGCACGCAGGGTACTGTCAATCCATCTTCCCTCCTTTTTTTTCTTTTTTTTTTTTTTTGGTGCTGAATTATTTGTTATGATATGATCCCAGCACAATAAGTTTTTCCAGGATATAAATTTTACATAGAGTTTAGCTTTGGGATCCTCTTTTTTTGTCACCCCCCTTTGTTATGATGGTCATATGAAGATTACTTACCATATATGCTTGAGTATAAGCCAAGTTTTTCAGACCTTTTTTAGGCTGAAAAAGCACTCCTCAGCTTATACTTGAGTCAAGGTTATTATTTTACTCTGTTGCTATTATTATTATTATTATTATTATTATTATTATTATTTGAAACACAACAAGATGAGTCCACAGCAGACACTCTGCTGGCTGTTGAATTGGATTACAAGTTGGACATTTCCAAGTGTCTAGGACTGTGTGATGTATTGGCGAATAATGCGTGCAGATCCCAATAATGTGGCCTTCTGCAGCTGGCAGATGGTAATTTTGTCAGCGCCGATTGTGTTTAAGTACAGGCCAAGGTCTTTAGGCACTGCACCCAGTGTGCCGATCACCATTGGGACCAGCTTTACTGGTTTGTGCCAGAGTCTTTGCAGTTCGATTTTTAAATCCTCATATCATGTCAGCTTTTCCAGTTGTTTCTCTGCAATCCTGCTGTCACCTGGGATTGCGACATCGACAATCCATACATTATTATTATTATTATTACATTTATTATTTTACTCTATTATTATATTTATTATTTTACTCTTTATTATTTTACTCTTTATTATTGTTATTACATTTATTATTACTCTATTATTATTATTATTATTATTATTATTATTCCATTATTTTACTCTGTTATGATGATGATGATGATGATTTTTAGTACATTTTTTATTTAACTTTCTTTATTATTATTGGAAGAATACGTAAGCATATTTACACTGAAGAAGGTTAAACAAAGCTAATCCTAGTATAGTTAACCCAATTAATAGCCTCCCAAAAGGTGAGACATAACTTCCCCTGCTTGGTTGCTGCTACATATGACCAAACCCTAATTTTTCAGGCTTCATTGCACTCCCCCTCCCAACTTTAAACCACACAAAATAATTCAAAGGTAGTACCACCACAGTGAAGTCTGATTCATGGTTTCAATTGTACTCTTTTAATTCCCTCTTAAAGTTGTTTTAATTCTCTATACCTTTGTTATGCATGGGTTGACCATTGCCCATGACCTGATTGATGCCTGCTAAGTCTCCATGCCACTCATTGTGTACATTTTGACTCTCGCATGCCAAGTAAACTCTCTGAGATATGGATCAATAAGAGGTTGTTAAGACATGCTCCTGTCAAGAGATTTCCATGTGTATATATCAGAATGGGCACATGTTGGTACATGTGTCTCTAGAGAAAGGATCTGCTGACAAGATATCCTTTGCTATTGATCTCTAGGGTTCATCAGCAGGAAAACTATAAAGGATTTTACCGATGACAAGTGTTTTTTGTACACTTTGGTGGAGAACTGTGGCTCATGAGATGTTACAGAGTGCAGGTCCCATCCTTCTCCCACTCCTGGGAATGTTGGGCAGGCCTCTTGGTGGGCATGGACCACAAACATCTGGCCAGCTACTGTTACCTACTTCTCCTATGAACCATTAATGCACGTATCATTTTGTAAATTAATAATGTATGCAAATTGTATGCAAAGAATATAATGGAGGTCAGCAATCTATATATATATGGCATATATCCAGGGAGGCCCTGCTCTCGCTCCCATCAACAGCGCAAATGCACCTGGCGGGGACGAGAGACAGGGCCTTCTCGGCTGTGGCCCCCCGCCTATGGAACATACTCCCAAATGAGGTAAGATCCGCTCCCTCCCTCCTGGCTTTTAAGAAAAAATTAAAAACATGGTTTTGGGACCAGGCCTTCAGGCAGTAGAAACAAATCTATGCAGCATTTCGGAAAGACAATGACTGGAACGGCGATTTGACAGATGAGACTGTTTTACTGTTTATGGATGTATTTTAATTTGATTTATGTCTAACTGTAATTGTATAATTGTAATTGTTTGTGCTGGCATTGAATTTTGCCATTACCTATGTGGAAACTGCTTTGAGTCCCCTTCGGGGTGAGAAAAGCGGTATACAAATGTTGTAAATAATAAAATAAATAAATAATGTATGTATTTTCCAAGATGGCTCCCACTTCCAGAGAGCAGTGTGACTCCCTTGGAGGACAGATCTACACCAAACGTGGCACACAAACTTCCCATGACCAGCAAACAAACAAACTGGAGGGGACTGACCCTGGGTGTTGGGAGTTACAGTCCAGCCACAATCAAAGAGCATTATGAACCCCACTGATGATGGATCTGGACCTAACTTGGCATGCATAGCCAACATGACCAACTTTGAATACTGGTGGGGTTTGGGGGGAATAGACCAATGACGTTAGGAGCTGCAGTTCACCCACAATCAAAGAGCACTGTCAATCTCACTGACAATGGATCTGGACCAAACTTAATAGTCCCATGATGAAGTTCTTCCCCATGCTCTGGTGGAATCTCCTTTCCTGTAATGTGAAGCCATTGTTCCATGTCCTAGTCTCTAGGGTAGCAGACATCAAGCTTGCTCCCTGGGTTGCTGTGAGTTTTCAGGGCTGCATGGCCATGTTCCAGAAACATTCTCTAGTGACGTTTCACCCACATCTATGGGACCCCTCAACCTGAGGATGCCTGCCATAGATGTGAGTGAAACGTCAGGAGAGATGAAGTGTCAGGAGAGAATGCTTCTGGAACATGGCCATACAGACCAGGAAACTCACAATAACCCAGTGATTCCAGCCAGGAAAGCCTTCAACAAGCTTGCTCCCTCCTTCCTACGACTCACTAACTATTAGATCTAATTGATGTGCACATATGCCAGGAAACCCAGATAACTTCTGGGTTGTTGTACGTTTTTTCGGGCTATATGGCCATGTTCTAGAGACATTCTCTCCTGACGTTTTGCCTGCATCTATGGCAAGCATCCTCAGAGGTAGTGAGGTCTGTTGGAACTAGGAAAGTGGGTTTGGAATGACCAGGGTGGGGCAGAGAACTCTTGTCTGTTGGAGCTAGGTGTGAATGTTTCAACTGACCACCTTGATTAGCATTTGATGGTCTGGCAGTGCCTGGGGCAATCTTTTGTTGAGAGGTGATTAGATGCCCTTGTTTGTTTCCTCTCTGTTGTTTTGCTGTTGTAATTTTAGAGTTTTTTTAAATACTGATAGACAGATTTTGTTCATTTTCATGGTTTCCTCCTTTCTGTTGAAATTGTCCACATGCTTGTGGATTTCAATGGCTTCTCTGTGTAGAGATAACTTCTATTTTTACAGCAATTACAAAAATAAAGTTCTAGATCTCGACAACTTGCCCTGACCTTTGCTGTTTCTCAGGGCAAAGGGGAGGACTCTCAGCATAAGAGCGCTGCCTTGAAAAGTATGTGCATAAATATTTTAATATGGAGGATATAGCATGTACAACTCAATATTATCATGCTTAAAGACATTTCCGGGGCCGGCCCCTTGTAACATCGTGACATCTTAGATCTGGTCATCAGATCAGAGCCCCCGGTGGCACAGTGGGTTAAACCTCTGTGCCGGCAGGACTAAAGACCGACAGGTCGCAGGTTCGAATCCAGGGAGAGGCGGATGAGCTCCCTCTATCAGCTCCAGCTCGTCATGCAGGGACATGAGAGAAGCCTCCCACAAGGATGATAAAAACATCAAATCATCCGGGCGTCCCCTGGGCAACATCCTTGCAGACAGCCAATTCTCTCGCACCAGAAGCGACTTGCAGTTTCTCAAGTCACTCCTGACACGACAAAAAATAATAATAATCAGATCTCAGGGCTTGGAACAGTCTTAACCTGGCAATCAATGAAACAGCAAAGCTTTTATTTTTAGAGAAAGGAAATACTGGGCCAATAGGAAGCATTTAAAAAAACACAAAGTATTTAAAGCAAAATGAAAATAAAGGGTGTTTTAGTAAGATTGTAAACAAAAACAGCTCTTTTATATCTGTAACCAAATATTAATGCTTAATTAGTTGAGGGTTTTAAGTGTACTACATAATGCATGGATGGAAATTACTGTCATATAACAGCACGCACACACTTATTAAACACGTTAATTTCTTTCAATGAAAGGACCAGTCATAGGTTGAAGTTGCTTCCAGGGCAAAGGGCGTCACCTTGTGCTTTGCTGGGGAATTACAAGAAAACGTGCTCCATTAACTTGGCATCATCTGTATCGTCAGCGGGAATTTTCACCACTCCTTCCACGTCTGCAAGGATGGAGATTATAATATTGAATAATTTTTCCTTCTTGTTCTGAAGGCACATTTCAGCAATCTCATTCCAGTCCTCCACGGTGCAGACTCGGTCCGTTACAATCATTTGAGCTAACACGTCTGTAAGTAAAAAGGAAAAAAAATGCTGCATTGTCTTTTTACTTGGTCCTGATCCATATGCAATCAATATGCACATACATTTCAATGGGATCCTAAATTAATTTGACTGTAGCCATATATAACTCTATACAACATACTATCGTGCAGTGGGTTAAACCACTTGCTGATCGAAAGGTCGCAGGTTCGAATGTGGGGAGCGGTGTGAGCTCCCGCTGTTAGCCCCAGCTTCTGCAAACTTAGCTGTTCGAAAACATGCAAATGTGAGTAGATCGATAGGTACTGCTCCAACAAGAAGTCATGCTGGCCACATGAACTTGGAGGTGTCTATGGACAACACCGGCTCTTTGGCTTAGAAATGGAGATAAGCACCAACCTCTGGAGTCGGACACGGATTGTGTCCAATTCTGGGCACCACAATTCAAGAGAGATATTGACAAGCTGGAATGTGTCCAGAGGAGGGTGACTAAAATGATCAAGGGTCTGGAGAACAAGCCCTATGAGGAGCAGCTTAAGGAGCTGGACATGTTTAGCCTGAAGAAGAGAAGGCTGAGAGGGGATATGATAGCCATGTATAAATATTTGAGAGGAAGCCACAGGGAGGAGGGAGCAAGCTTGTTTTCTGCTTCCTTGGAGACTAGGACGCGAAATAATGGCTTCAAACTACAAGAAAGGAGATTCCATCTGAACATGAGGAAGAACTTCCTGACCGTGAGAGCCATTCAGCAGTGGAACTCTCTGTGGTGAAGGCTCCTTCTTTGGAAGCTTTTAAACAGAGGCTGGATGGCCATCTGTCAGGGGTGATTTGAATGCAATATTCCTGCTTCTTGGCAGAATGGGGTTGGACTGGATGGCCCATGAGGTCTCTTCCAACTCTTTGATTCTATGATTCTATGATTCTACGGCTGGACTTAATGACAGGGAAAAACCTTACCTTACTACAGCACACTGAAATGTGTTATTTTTTATTTTATTTTCAGCAGACAAAATGTATTTGCAAGCCAAAAAATCAAGTCTGGTTTCTCCTTTTCAACCAATTCTATTTCCCAATAGTGTAGCGGTCCCTAACTCATGAGATAAGTGGCATATTTTCTGCCTAAGCGGAGCATCTTGTATTTGTCCCTGTTGAACTTCATTTTGTTAGTTTTGGCCAATCATCATCTCTCTAATCTGTTAAAATCGTTTTGAATTCTGATCCTGTCTTCTGGGGTATTGGCTATCCCTCCCAATTTGCGGTCATCTGCAAACTTCATCATGCCTTCTAATCCTTCATCTAAGTCATTGATAAAGATGTTGAACAGAAACGGGCCCTGGATGGATCCCTGCTTGTGGCACTCCACTTGTCACTTCTTTCCAGGATGAAGAGGAAGCACTGGGGAGAATCACCCTTAACCAATTACAGATCCACCTAACCGTAGTTTTGCTTATCCCTACGGATACGTAGGAATACCAAGATGCTTGTTTATAAAGCTATTGTCCTCCCAACCCTGCTATATGCCTGCAAAACGTGGACTGTCTACAGACGTCACATGCAACTCCTGGAACGATTCCATCAGTGCTGCCTCCGGAAAATCCTGCAAATCTCTTGGGAAGACAGGCGGACAAACGTCAACATGCTGGAAGAAGCAAAGACCACCAGCATTGAAGCGATGGTCCTTCGCCATCAATTCCGCTGGACTGGCCATGTTGTCCGGATGCCTGACCACCATCTCCCAATGAAGTTACTCTATTCCGAACTCAAAAACGGAAAACGGAATGTAGGTGGGCAGGAAAAGAGATTTAAAGATGGGCTCAAAGCCAACCTTAAAAACTCTGGCATAGACACTGAGAACTGGGAAGTCCTAGCCCTTGAGCGCTCCAGCTGGAGGTCAGCTGTGACCAGCAGTGCTGCAGAATTTGAAGAGGCACGAATGGAGGGTGAAAGAGAGAAATGTGCCAAGAGGAAGGCGCGTCAAGCCAACCCTGACCAGGACCGCCTTCCACCTGGAGACCAATGCCCTCACTGCAGAAGAAGATGCAGATCAAGAATAGGGCTCCACAGCCACCTACAGACTCACAAGAATTCTGATCCTGGAAGACTATCCTACTCAGCCAACGAGGGTTCGCCTAAGTAAGTAAGTTTTGCTTAGTCCACATTTGACTAGTTTGTTTGCCAGAAGGTCATGGGGGAATTCGTTGAGGTCCTTACTGAAATCCAAATATGCTGCATCCATGGCATTTCCCGCATCTACCCATGCAGAGTCCTTGCATTCACAGGGGCCTTGCACAGCTATACTCACCTTTGCCTTCCTTGGTAATCTCCTCCAACAACTGTATGCAGTAGATGCTGTACTCTGTGTGGATAAGCGAGAGGATTGTCTCCCCAAGGGACAAAAGGGCCGGCTTCCCTCTCCACTCTTGAGTCAGGCAGCTGATGAGTTCTGCCCCAGGACAATGCTTCAGCAGGAAGATATAGTCCTCTGAAACCAAGCAGCAAAGGATGTGGTTCTATTCCAGAACTGGGTGCAATTTAAAGCTTTACCAAGACAGTATTGGGTACCTAATACTGTAAGGCTTTAACTGCCATGAGATACACTTTATGGGTGGTAAAAGAGGTAGCAGATGGTACATAGCAGGGAAGCGTTCCAGCCCTTTTGTTAATGAGTTTCAGCATTCTCTCACAGCGAATGGAAAAGCAGGCCCTAATCAACTAATTCTACCCAGTAACCCAATTCCTATGGTTGGCTAAACGGGTAGCTGCTGAGCTGAGATGCACCCCTCCGGTAAGGCTTATGGAGGATAGACTCCCAAGGTTATATCATGCAGACACATACAAAGCAAACTAAAACACAGAAGCGTGATTTATCCCAACCATGCAAACAGGTTAGCAATAGAGTGAAATTTGTTGGGCGAGTGGGCTTATTCACAAAAGACTCTCCCCATAAATGTTCAGCAAAGTAACTTATTAGCAGGAGCATGATCCAGCACCAATAGCCCAGAGTGACAAAAAGTACAAAAACACACAAACTAATGTTACCTCTTCCATAGGAGATTTTTCCTGGTGGTAAAATAATTTAGTTGCACTATTTACAATAACAAGGTTTCCAGAACACAAAGCCCTTTATACTTCCTTCTTTGCTTCCATGCTGGGCTTCTTCCACACACAGACTAATGTTATCTCTTCCATAGGAGGCTTTTCTTTGTAATAAAATAATATAGTTGCACTATTTACAATAACAAGGTTTTCATAACACAAAAAAGTTCTTCATACTTCCTTCTTTGCTTCCATCCTGGGCTTCTTCCACACAGAGACCAATGTTATCTCTTCCATAGGAGGCTTTTCTTTGTAGTAAAATAATATAGTTGCACTATTTACAAGATTTCCACCACACAAATAAAGTCCTTTATACTTCCTTCTTTGTTTCCATGCTGGGCTTCTTCCACACACAGACCAATGTTATCTCTTCCATAGGAGGCTTTTCTTTGTAGTAAAATAATATAGTTGCACTATTTACAATAAGAAAGATTTCACAACACAAATAAAGTCCTTTATACTTCCTTCTTTGCTTCCATGCTGGGCTTCTTCTACACACAGACCAATGTTATCTCTCCCATAGGAGGCTTTTCTTTGTAGTAAAATAATATAGTTGCACTATTTACAATAACAGGGTTTTCATAACACAAAAAAGTTCTTTATACTTCCTTCTTTGCTTCCATGCTGGGCTTCTTCTGCACACAGACCAATGTTATCTCTTCCATAGGAGGCTTTTCTTTATAGTAAAATAATATAGTTGCACTATTTACAATAAGAAAGATTTCACAACACAAATAAAGTCCTTTATACTTCCTTCTTTGCTTCCATGCTGGGCTTCTTCTACACACAGACCAATGTTATCTCTCCCATAGGAGGCTTTTCTTTGTAGTAAAATAATATAGTTGCACTATTTACAATAACAAGGTTTCCATAACACAAATAAAGTTCTTTATACTTCCTTCTTTGCTTCCATGCCGAGCTTCTTCCACATGCAGACAAACAGCTTCGCTCTCACAGAATCTCCTCTCAACTATGAACTTGTATTGGAGCTTCACACAGTAGCTTTTTACACAAAGCAGCCTTTATACTGGAGATCTACACACGAGGCTTTACAACCTGGGGCTTCTCTCACCGAAGCTTCTCACACCAGGCCTTCTCACACTCAGCCTTCTCATAGACTACCTCACACTGTGAGGCCTACCTCACACAGAGGCTTCTCTCACAGACTAAAGTCTATCTCACACTGTGAGACCTTCTCTCAGACTGAGACCTTTCTCCGACTGAGGTTTACCCCAGACTGATGTCTATTAAGCTACAGGCATACCTGCTTATATAGAACTGCAGCTTTCGCTGAGTCATTGCATCCATTTAACGTTTTCAGTGCTTGACTCACATTTTTGTAATTAAAAATACCTAGTTAATTTTTAATATTTCTAACTAAATTCACCCCATCACACACAGCCTACATATCGTCTCCCAACCCTGTATCAATGCTGGGAGTGTAAATGTCACTAATACGAGTTATCCCTCACTTAAACCTTGGGTAGCTATTAACCCTAGCCCATGATGTAAGGAGGACTCTAAAACCCCGGTGGCAGAAGACCAACTCACTACAGATGTTAGAAAAATCACAAACATACTGTGCTGTCACGCGCTGGGCCTATAGCAATTGGCTTTTGAACAGGATGTGCTCTTTGTGCCCAGCGGGAAGCCGGGGTGCCTCGAGTGAGAGGCCCTAAGGATTTTCCTATACAGAATCCTTAAAAGCTTGAAAAGTTTAACAAAGTCCTTTATTATTAACAAAGTCCCTCCTCGGGGGTTGAGAAGGGCGGGGTAGAAATGCGCGAAATTTATTATTGCTTAGGTCTTCAACAAAACAATCAAATACTTCTCAGATCTTCAACAGGTCAAACAAATACTTCAAGGCTTTGAATCAACTGGTGGCTTTCTTAATCTTGTCCACAAGGGACAGGCAACTGGCTTCATGAACTGTTTCTTTTCTTTAAGAGGAAAACCCTTTTTAACCTCTCCTTGGGCGATCTACTTTCTAAAATTTGCTGGTGTGGGCTCTACTCCCAGCTCCAAACTGCTTCTTGGGTCCCGAGTAGACCTACCAGTCAAGGCTTTGTAGATTCTCCAGCTGGAGTCCTTTGGAACTGTTTCCCCCCAGAATTTTGTAAGGAACTAAGGTTCTCTAAGGGTGGAGCTGATTCACGTCCTGTAGCTAAGCTTTCAACTGTAAGACTGAGCTAAAATGGCTCCCTTTCCTTCCTGAACCCTGGGGAAAGGAACTAAAAAACCCAATGATGATTGACGGGTCATTGGCCCTATAATTGCAGAGCAAGGGAAACCACCTTATTGCAAAATGCATGGAACCTTGGAATACATGCAAATACTCAAAGAAAGAAAAGGAAGTTGGAGCTCCTGGTACAGCCGTACCAGCACTTATACCAACGGAATTTTCTGGGCTTTCAGACCTATACACATGTCTTATGACTTTGGAATGTACCTGTGGGTAGGCGATGGAACTGATGAAGGTAATCCATGGCTCCAAAGATCTGTCCCTGTCTGCACAAGCATAGGACTGCTTTCTTGTGTACCTTGCACGCGCTGTAGGCAATCTGAGCCAAAGCAAAGTACTGGGATGTGTTATGCTTATCCACGTCTGCATAATCGTAAATTGCATCGCCGGCCGCCTCAGATAATTCCAGCCTGCAGGAAACAAAAGAGGTTACCGTATTTTGGAACACTATGAAGGCGAGCAGAGAGCCAGTGTGGTGTAGGATCTTAAATGATGGACGAGGGACTTTGGGAAACTAAGGTTCGAATACCTGCTTGGTCATGGAAACCCACTGGATGACTTTGGGCAAGGCATGTTCTTCCAGTCTCACAGGAAGAGAATATCAAATGGCTTTTGGAAATCTTCGCAATACATTGCTGTGATAGCGTGGTTATTAGTCAGAATTGCAAGACAACAACACAAATAATTTCAAAGTTATGGAGCCCTTGGTGGTGCAATGGGTTAAACCTTTGTGCCGGCAGGACTGAAGACCGACAGGTTGCAGGTTCGAATCTGGGGAGAGCACAGCAAATGAGCTTCCTCTGCCAGCTCCAGCTCCCCCTGTGGGGACATGAGAGAAGCCTCCCACAAGGATGGTAAAACATCAAAACATCCGGATGTCCCCTGTGCAATGTCCTTGCAGACGGTCAATTCTCTCACACCAGAAGCGACTTACAGTTTCTCAAGTCGCTCCTGACACGAAATAAATAAATAAATTCAAATTTAAAAGTAATAGCAATGATAAAGATTCCTAGCATGTGAATAAAAATACAGTCTAAGACAGGGACAGGAAACATATGGTTCCCTAAAGGACGCTGGACTAGACTTCCATCCTAATTAATCAACATCCATGTTAAAGCATGGTTGATGGGAGTTGAAGTCCAAGAATGTCCAGAAGTCAACATCATTTGTGATATCTGGTACAAAAGACAAAAAGAAGAGGAAAGCAGGAAAAAGGACGAAGTCAGCTACTATATCTGCATTGTCTCTCTTAAATAAAAATGCTCTATTTCCTCCCCCTGAAAAGGAGAGACCCCCAACTGCTTCCCAGAGCCTTTATTATCATTGGCCAACTGATTCTTTTGAACAGAGATTGGCAGGGATTAAAAGTTGGATATTTTATATGCCAAGCACGTGCTGTATCAGTGAGTTACGTAGCTCCTCTCCCAGTGTTCCCACTTGCCACTTACTTGTGCATGGTCAACCAGTGCATCACCAAATCCAACCGTTTCTCAGCCAAAGCACATTTGATGACTTCTGTTGTCAAGTCTGCAGGAAGAGGGTTCTTAGAAGCGATGCTGGCGTTTATGAGAGCTTCGCAGTACATGAGCAGAGGAAGGGTCTTCCCCTTCACACGGCCAACAGCTAAAGGGAGAAATCAGTGGGTTTAACTTCAAGCAAGTCTGGCAAGCCTATCCAACTATGAGGAGTGGTGGGAGTTGCAGCCCAACATCATATGGAAGGCTGCATGATTCATATCCCTTGACATAAGTACCGTATATACTCGAGTATAAGCCAACCCAAATATAAGCCGAGGTAAATACCTAATTTTACTACAAAAAAAACCCTGGGAAAACGTATTGACTCAAGCATAAGCCGAGGATGGGAAATGCAGCAGTAAATCTATATAAATAAAAATGTAATGTTCGTTTGTGGGATTAACATAACTCAAAAATCACTTGACAAATTGACACAAAATTTGGACACAATACACCTCTCAGGCCAATGAGTGACCATCACTCATAATCCCCCCCAAAAAAGTGGAAAGGACTTAAAAACCCCAAAAAGCTAAATGACAAAAAACTAAATGACGAAACAGGAAAAAAGGGAAGGAAGAGGGAGGAAAGGAGAGGAAGGAAGGAAGGAAGGAAGGAAGGAAGGAAGGAAGGAAGGAAGGAAGGAGGGAGAGAAAGGGAGGAAAAGAAAGAAGGAAAGAGAGAAGGAAGCATGGAAGCAAAGAGTGAAGGAAGGAAGGAAAGAGGTAGAGAAGGAAGAAAGGAGAAAAAGAGGGATGAAAAGAAAAGGGGGGAAGGAAAGAAAGAGGTAGAGAAGGAAGGAAGTGAAGGTAAGAAAAAGGAAAGAAAGGAAAGAGGTAGAGAAGGAAGAAAGGAGAGAAAGAGGGAGGGAAGGAAGGAAAGAAGGAAAGACAGAAGTATCGATAGAAGCAAAGAGCGAAGGAAGGAAGGAAGGAAAGAGGTAGAGAAAAAGAGGGATAAAAGAAAAAGGGGGAAGGAAAGAGGTAGAGAAGGAAGGAAGGAGAGAAGGAAAGAAAAAAGGGAAGGAAGGAAGGAAGGAAGGAAAGAAGAAGTGAAGGAAGGAGGGAAAGGAGGAGAGAAAGAGGGAGGAAAGGTTGGCCACAGCAATGTGTGGCGGGTACAGCTAGTTTCAAAATAAAAATAGATATCAATAAAATTACATTGAGGCATCAGCAGGTTGAATGCTTTTGAATATTTACAAAAACTGTAATTTCATAGAAACATAGATTCATAGAATTCTTGAATTGGTGTGTGTGTGTGTGTGTGTGTGTGTATTTCTGTCAGTGGTGCTGAAACTAGTGTGTGTCTTACAGTTAATGGCATCTTAGAACTGAAGACATACAGTATGAGAATACAAGTATTAAATAGTGAGTCCATTAAGACCTATGTGTTAAGAGAGATGTGCAATACTGGTTCATTAAAATAATGGAACTATAATAATTTTTATAATTAAAATCATTTAGTTTTTTTTAATTCCCATAGTTAATAAAATTACTACAATTTAAAGTCACAAGAAGTGTCAATGATTCTCAAAAATAAGTCAATTAACAATTAAAATAATAAAATTGTAATATACTACTGAAAATGAATCAGGAGTACAAAATTCTGTAACGATGTTGAATTTTGTGATTGTAAAGGCTTGCACATTGCCTTTATGTACACTAAATGGCAGCTAATAAAACTTGAAAATAAACAAATTCAGATTTTCAAGGCTTAACGGAGACAAAATATATCTGAAGTTCACCGTACCCCTAAATTTCTCCATGGTTTCTTCATTGCAGAGCATTCTTCTCGGACAGTTTGCTGCGTATATTGCTGCGGCTTCATACTGTCCCCGGGAAAATAGTTCATTGAACCTAGTACAGAAGAAATACAAGTGTTTTGAAGGATATATGGCGCACACAAATACCATTTCCATTCTTGGTAATGAGAAAACTTGCTAGTTAGACCCAACTCTAGTAATCTGATGACAGTAGTTGACCAAAGGATCTTTCATATATCTTGTGTGACTAGACCAAGCATGGGCAAACTTTGGTCCTCCGGGTGTTTTGAACTTCAACTCTCACAATTCCTAACAGCCGGTTAGGAATTCCTACTGACTGCTAGGAATTGTGAGAGTTGAAGTCGACCTGGAGGGCCGAAGTTTGCCCATGCTTGGTCTAGTCACACAAGATATACAGCAGACCATCCACTTTCACAAGTGTTAGGGACACAATATAATAATAACAATAATAATAACAACAACAACAACACTTTATTTGTATTCCGCCCTACCTCCCCAAGGGGACTCAGAGCAAATTTTAGCATATATCTTCGTAGAAGTGGAGAAAAAAAATGGTTTAAAAATGCCCTTTCCCCCCTGAGAGCACTTTTATGGAAGTTGACCACAGAATTGTGCTGGAGGAGCTAGAGATTCTTCGAGAAATATTCACAAATGCTAGAGAAGAATATTAAGATTCTGATGGAAGTTTTCCATAAAGTTGTATTGGAAGATCTAGAGATTCCTAGAGAGAATATTTTAAACCAAATCTGTGAAAGTCAGACTCCCAAATGTAGAGAGTCGATTATATATTTTCTTCCCACCCACATGTGGGTTTATTTATTTTTAATTTTAAGACCGGGTTGTGGTGTGGTTGGCTAGGAGTCAGCTGCATTAAATCACCACTGACCGAAATGTCATGAGTTCGAAGCTAGCCCAAGTCAGAGCAAGCTCCCAACCAATTGTCTAGCTTGCTGTCGACCTTTGCAGCCCGAAAGACAGTTTATTTATTTATTTATTTATTATTCAAACTTATATGCCGCCACTTCCCTGGGGCTCGGAGCGGCTTACAAGAACAGGCTAAAAACTAACACAATTTTAAAATAATTTAAAAACAACAAAATCAAAGATCAAATGCCTGTCGAAACAGATTTGTCTTACAGTTGCATTTGTCAAGTAGGAAATTTAGGTACCGCTTATGCGAGGAGGCTAATTTAACTAATTTACAACATCATAAAAATCTCCAGCAGTGAGCGAAAGAATGAGGAAGTACTCCATCAAGGACTCGGTGTCACAAGTGGACCATGAAGCGACAGCTCCCCTGGTGGCCGGAAATCGAGCATATCCTCATGAAGCTGAAATGTTAAATTGCCTCTGTGTTTGTCTATATATGTTGTGTGTCTATGGCACTGAATGTTTGCCATGTATATGTGCACTGTAATCGACCCTGAGTCCCCTGTGGGGTGAGAAGGGCAGATAATATAAATACTGTAAATAAATAAATAAATAAGACCTATCTGAACAACAAAAAAGCTATGTCTCTTGTTTTTTCTTTTTCATTTAGTTTTTTGCCATAACGCACCAATGAATCAGCAAACCTTTTGCACTACAGCACTATAACTCAAAATTTAAACTTTTTTAGAATTTTAAAAAATCAGAGAAGAGAAAAAATGTTTTTCAAACCATACTACAGATATTGCCGGACTGCAACTCCAATCGTCCTTCAGCACTGGCTATGTGCATTGAGCTGATGGAATGTTTGATACATTAGAAGAGCCATTTTGTGATCGTAACATTGAGCATTGGGCACCACAATTGAAGAGAGACATTGACAAGCTGGAATGTGTCCAGAGGAGAGTGACTAAATTGATCAAGGATCTGGAGAACAAGTTCTATGAGGAGCGGCTTAAAGAGCTGGGCAGATTTAGCCCACAGAAGAGAAGGCTGAGAGGAGCTATGTATAAATACGTGACAGGAAGTCATAGGGAGGAGAGAGCAAGCTTATTTTCTGCTGCCCTGGAGACTAGGACGCGGAACAATGGTATAAAGTTTATCAGGAGAGGAAGGCCGAATAGTAGAGAAGATTTAAAATAATTTGGAATTTATCAGACAAGGAAAGTTATAACTGTGTATAGCTATATTTGAATGATGTCTGAACTGAGAGGTATTGTAACTGTTGCTTCAATTAGGGTACGCTGCCACCTTATTGCTTAGTATTCAGGCTGAGTTATATGTGTGGAGAGGATACTTAGTAACACCCTTCTGTGCTACTATGGCGTTTATTTTCATCAAAAGGTTTAAATACCAATGATGTTCACACACAGGCTGTTGTAATGTGTTAATTATAATAAGACGTTTATTTAAAAGGCTTAAACTCTTCTGGTACAAATGCGTAATGGTTTCTGTAAGTTAATGGCACAAAAGCTTTTGGTTACGTTTGATGTACAATTCTTAGATGGGTACTGGGTTCAAATCTAGAGTTAACAAAACAGGAGATTATCTCAGGAAACTAATCTCTGCTGATAATTCCAAACCAAATTCCCGCTTTCTGAATCTAGCCAAACAACTTTGGCCTAGCCTTCCTCAGGAATAAAAGAAACAGACCATAGCAAGGTCCTGTTCCCACTGTCAGTATTCCTGGCTAATTCCTCTATCCCTTGAATACTACAAAAGATTAACCCAGTTCTCCTATCTGGTATTATCCAACTATGAACACCAACCGACTACCTAACTCCCAACTGGCAAATCCCAACTGCCAAATCTCAAGCCTCAAATTCAAAAAGTACACTTTTTTCCCCTCTATTTGAATGTTAGGCTCCACCCCCTATTCCTAAGATGGCCGCCAGGGCTTCACTAGGCCCACATTCTAACTGTCCAGGCCGACAGGCTTTGCTAGGCCCACATTCTGGCTGCTAAAGATAAGATCTAGGGAAGTCATGCTACCCCTCTATTTCGCTTTGGTTAGACCACATCTGGAATATTGTCCAATTCTGGGCACCACAATTCAAGAGAGATATTGACAAGCTGGAATGTGTCCAGAGGAGGGCGACTAAAATGATCAAGGGTCTGGAGAACAAGCCCTATGAGGAGCGGCTTAAGGAGCTGGGCATGTTTAGCCTGAAGAAGAGAAGGCTGAGAGGAGATATGACAGCCATGTATAAATATGTGAGAGAAGCCACAGGGAGGAGGGAGCAAGCTTGTTTTCTGCTTCCTTGGAGACTAGGAGGCGGAACAATGGCTTCAAACTACAAGAAAGGAGATTCCAACTGAACACGAGGAAGAACTTCCTGACTGTGAGAGCCGTTCAGCAGTGGAACTCTCTGCCCTGGAGTGTGGTGGAGGCTCCTTCTTTGGAAGCTTTTAAACAGAGGCTGGATGGCCACCTGTCAGGGGTGATTTGAATGCAATATTCCTGCTTCTTGGCAGGGGGTTGGACTGGATGGCCCATGAGGTCTCTTCCAACTCTTTGATTCTATGATTCTAGGGTTCTTCGCAAATGGCTTCGAACTACAAAAAAGGAGATTCCATCTGAACATTAGGACTAACTTCCTGACTGTGAGAGCTGTTCAGCAGTGGAACTCTCTGCCCCGGAGTATGGTGGAGGCTCCTTCTTTGGAAACTTTTAAACAGAGGCTGGATGGCCATCTGTTGGGGATGCTTTGAATGCAATTTTCCTGTTTTTGGCAGGGGGTTGGACTGGACGGCCCATGAGGTCTCTTCCAACTCTATGATTCTATGGTTCTAAGAGGGCCCCATTTGGGTCATGACCCACAGCTGAAGAAGCAGTGGATTAGGGGACTCTTTCTTTCAAGCTCACCTTTCGATGTATTCAATGAGATCTTCCGCCTCTTGGCTTTTGGCAGGGTCACGTTCGAATACACTTGAAATGCTGGAGACAATTGTGCCTGAAAAGTTAGACCCGTCCAGAAGAACATTAATGTTTGATGCCACTCAGGCCACATCTTACCAAATCACATTCCCATTGACCACGGTGGGTGAAATTAATGAGACAAGAGGCTGCCCATCCCTGTTTTGTGTTCTCAGAAAACAGGGATGTGTTGTGAGTTTTCCAGACTGCATGGCCATGTTCCAGAAGCATTCTCTCCTGACGTTTCACCTACATCTATGGCAGGCATCCTAGGAGGTTGTGAGGTCTGCTGGAAACTTGGAAAACTGGCTTTATATATCTGTGGAATGTCCAAGGTGGGAGAAAGAACTGTAATTGATCACCTTGATTAGCACTGAATAGCCTAGCAGTTTCAAGGTCTGGCTTCTTACTGCCTGGGGGAATCCTTTGTTGGGAGGTGATTAGCTAGCTCTGATTGTTTCTTGTCTGGAATTCCCCTGTTTTTGAGTGTTGCTCTTTATTTACTGTTGTAATTTTATAGTTTTTTAATACTGGTAGCCAGATTTTGTTCATTTTCATGGTTTCCTCTTTTCTGTTGAAATTGTCCACATGCTTGTGGATTTCAAAGGCTTCCCTGTGTAGTTGTTAGAGTGGTCCAGCATTTCTGTGTTCTCAAATAATATACTGTTATCCAACAAAGGATTCCCCCAAGCAATAAGTAGCCAGACCTTGAAACTGCTAGGCTATTCAGTGCTAATCAAGGTGATCAATTGCAGTTCTTTCTCCCACCTTGGACAATCCACAGATATATAAAGCCCGTTTCCTTGAAACTACTAGGCCATTAAATACTAATCAAGGTGGAGAATTGATACACTCACGCATACCTCAAACAGGCAAGAGTTCTTTCTCCCACTCTGGACATCATTCACTGGATATATAAACTCTACTTGCCTAGTTTCCAACAGACCTCACGACCTCTGAGAATGCCTGTCATAGACGTGGGCTAAATGTCAGGAGAGAATGCTTCTGGGACATGGCCAGACAGCCCGGAAAGCTCACAACAACCCAGTGATTCTGGCCATGAAAGGCTTCAACAATCTATATAAATAAAAATGTAATGTTCGTTTGTGGGATTAACAGAACTCAAAAACCACTGGAAGAATTGACACCAAATTTGGACACAAGACACCTAACAACCCAATGTATGTTCTTCCCTCAAAAAATTGATTTTGTCATTTGGGAGTTGTAGCTGCTGGGATTTATAGTTCACCTACAATCAAAGAGCATTCTGAACCCCATCAACGATGGAATCGAACCAAACTTGGCACACAGTTCTCCCATGACCAATAGAAAATACTGGAAGGGTTTGGTGGGCAGTGTCCTTTGGTTTTGGAGTTGTAGTTCACCTACATCCAGAGATCACTCTGGACTCAAACAATGATCGATCTGGACCAAACTCTAGACAAATGCTCATTATGCCCAAATGTGAACACTGGTGGAGTTTGGGGGAAATAGCCCTTGACATTTGGGAGTTGTAGTTGCTGGGATTTATAGTTCACCTATAATCACAGAGCATTCTGAACCCCACCAACTATAGAATTGGGCCAAACCTCCCACACAGAACCCCCATGACCACAAGAGTGGGCCACAGCAACGCATGGCAGGAGATGGCTAGTCTATATAAATAAAAATGTAATGTTCGTTTGTGGGATTAACATAACTCAAAAACCACTGAGCAGATTGACACCAAATTTGGACACAATACACCTATTAAGCCAACAAGTGACCATCTCTCATAAAAACACAGCTGAAGAGACAATAAAAGCCCAAATTACCTTACAATACATGCGCAAAACCACATATATACACATATACACAGACTGGGCCACAGCAAAGCATGGCAGGGGATGGCTAGTACATTTATAGAAGCTTCTTCACTAGACCTTCCAGATCTTTGCTATTCCCTGATGATCTCCCATGCAAATACTAACTAGGTTTCACCCTCCTTAGCTTCCAAAATCAGATGAGACAGGATAGGTTCATAATAGTATGGCAGGACCAGGAGGATAGGAATTAGCCCGATGAACTGGGAAAACGAAATGCTACCCCAGGCATAGAGAACTACACACTACAAGACCCAGAAACTAGAAGACCCGAAAACAGAAGAAAGGAGGGGATATACAACATAGAGCTCAAAATGTGGCAAAGGAGGAGACAAGTGAGATGTGCAAAGAAATCCCAATTGAAAAGATAGCGATTTCCCACACAAATCCATTCATTTCAGCATCCAACACAAATCTTGTAATTTTGGACACTTTGTCGTAGGCGGTAATTCCTTTTCTTTACCTTTTGCAAGTTTCTCATTTTCTATCATTTGATGGACAAGCTGATGCAGGGTTTCAATGTTCCTGTCTGAATTTTCCCACATAGACACAACATTTGCAAACTGCGTCAACCGATAAAAGCTGCAAACAGGAGAATATCTTGTAAATACTGCTGAGTGAATATCAGATCCCTGCTAATTTCCTGTGAATGGCTCCTTCAGGCTCCATTGACAGGGATTAGAATAGGTGAAATAGGTAAGTAACTGTGTGCATATGGTGTATATTTATTTATCGTGCCAGGAGCAAACCAAACAGTTGTATTGCATTTTTAACAAACAAACAAACAAAGCACTAATTAATTAATTAATTAAGTAAGTAAACACTAATTAATTAAAATTAAACACAAATTAATTTTTGTTTAGACCTGGCTACCATTTCCGAGATATGTCATTATGTATATGCAAAATCCCAAACACTTTTGGTCCAACACCCCATTTCAAGTAAGAGATACTAAACCCTGATTTGAATAACTAATTCATGGTCCTGGTTCTTGAAAGATCTGTAAACTTCAGGACCAAACAAGAGCTCTATTCTACTGGTCATTTAGTGAATGAGGAGGTATTATTAATACATTTATTGATCTCTGTATAAGAAGGAAATAATGATTTCCATATTTGCAAACCATACTGTCTATATGTGATTTATATTAATTGTATTGTTTATTTGCTTATTGCTTGTTGTTTTACTGATGTGTTGTTGGTCTTGGCCTCATGTAAGCTGCTCCGAGTCCCCTTGGGGAGATGGTGGCGGGGTATAAATAAAGTGTATTATTATTATTATTATTATTATTATTATTATTATTATTACTGTTCAAATAAAACATTATAGGACCTTCAATATTTGCACTTCTACAGGTGAAAATCAAGTTTCATATGCACTTAGAATCATAGAGTTGGAAGAGACCTCGTGGGCCATCCAGTCCAACCCTATTCTGCCAAGAAGCAGGAAAATTGCATTCAAAGCACTCCTGACAGATGGCCATCCAGCCTCTGTTTGAAAGCTTCCAAAGAAGGAGCCTCCACCACACTCTGGGGCAGAGAGTTCCACTGCTGAACAGCTCTCACAGTCAGGAAATTCTTCCTCATGTTCAGGTGGAATCTCCTTTCTTGTAGTTTAAAGCCACTGTTTCGCGTCCTAGTCTCCAAGGAAGCAGAAAACAAGCTTGCTCCCTCCTCCCTGTGGCTTCCTGTCACATATTTATTTATGGCCATCATATCTCCTGACAGCTTTCTCTTCTGTGGGCTAAATATGCCCAGTTCTTTAAGCCGCTCCTCATAGGACTTGTTCTCCAAACCCTTGATTATTTTAGTCGCCCTCCTCTGGACACATTCCAGCTTGTCAACATTCCCATTCAGTTGGGGTGCCCAGAATTGGGCACAATATTCCAGATGTGGTCTGGCCAAGGCAGAATAGAGGGGTAGCATGACTCCCCTGGATCTAGACACTAGACTCCTAATGTAAGTATTATTTAAGTATTATAACTTATATTTAATATTATTTACTTATTTATTTACGACATTTATATCCCGCTCTTCTCACTCAGAGCAGCTTATATGAGTGGCATTATTCCATGCCTGAACAACAACAACAATTAAAGAACAATTTTAAACAACATGTGCAAACATTAGGTGACTATTGTGCATAGATCCAAAGCCAGATGATCAGGTAATCATATTCATCAATCCAAAGCCAATTCTAACTGTATTGCACAGATAATTATGCTGGGCCAAATGCTTGCTACCAAAGCCAACTTTTCACTTGTTTGTAAAATGACAGGAGAAAAGGCGCCAATCTAATCCTACTAGGGAGGGAGTTCCACATTTGAGGGGCCACTACTGAGAAGGCCTGTCTCTTATCTCCACCAGTTACGGCTGTGGAGGTGGTGGGACTGAGAGAAGCCTCCCTAGAAGACCTTATATGTGGCTATCATGTCTCCTCTCAGCCTTCTCTTCTGCATGCTAAACATGCCCAGCTCTTTAAGCCACTCCTCATAGGGCTTGTTCTCCAGACCCTTGATCATTTTAGTCAGCCTCCTCTGGACACATTCCAGCTGTTGACATCTCCCTTCAATTGAAGTGCCCAGAATTGGTCTCAGTATTCCAAGTGTGGTCATAGAATCATAGAGTTGGAAGAGACGTCATGGGCCATCCACTCCAACCCCATCTGCCAAGAAGCAGGAATATTGCATTCAAAGCACCCCTGACAGATGGCCATCTAGCCTCTGTTTAAAAACCTCCAAAGAAGGAGCCTCCACCACACTCCGGGGCAGAGAGTTCCACTGCTGAACGGCTCTCACAGTCAGGAAGTTCTTCCTCATGTTCAGATGGAATCTCCTTTCTTGTAGTTTGAAGCCATTGTTCCGCGTCCTAGTCTCCAAGGAAGCAGAAAACAAGCTTGCTCCCTCCTCCTTGTCACTTCCTCTCACATATTTATACATGGCTATCATATCTCCTCTCAGTCTTCTCTTCTTCAGGCTAAACATGCCCAGCTCCTTAAGCCGCTCCTCATAGGGCTTGTTCTCCGGAACCTTGATCATTTTAGTCATCCTCCTCTGGATACACTTGGTCTGATCAAGGCAGAGCAAAGGAGTAGCATTACTTGACAGATCCTTTGCTTAGTTGTATTCATTTTTGCACATATACAATGGGTATTCACTGCAGGAAATTTGGATTGGTATCCTAATGGTTAGGCGCAAGCAGCTGACAGATTCAGTTAAAACTTGTGCGCCAGCTGCGCCCGTACTTTGGGAAGTCTGACTTGGCCATGGTAGTCCAAGCTCTGGTTACATCCCGTATAGACTACTGCAACGTTCTCTATGTGGGGTTGCCTTTGAAGACTGCTCGGAAGCTTCAAATGGTCCAGCATTCGGCAGCCAGGTTGCTAACAGGAGCGGCACTAAGGGAGAATACTATTCCTCGGTTGGCTGCCAGTTTGCTACTGGGCACAATTCAAAGTGCTGACGTTAGCCTATAAAGCCCTAAACGGTTCTGGCCCTACTTACCTCTCCGAACGCATCTCCTCCTATGAACCGGCTAGGACACATCTGGGGAGGCCTGCTCTCTGTCCTGCCTGCATCACAAGTGCGCTTGGCGGGGACGAGAGACAGGGCCTTCTCAGTGGTGGTCCCTTGGCTGTGGAACACCCTGCCTGCAGATATCAGATCGGCCCCCTCCCTGCTGGCGTTTCAGAGGAAAGTGAAGACCTGATTAATCAGTGTAATTGAACATAGGAATACTGAATAATGGATGATGAAACTGGATTCTGATTTTACTGTTGAGGCGCTAAAGATTGTTATACGGATGTTTAATGATTTATGTTACAATTGTTTTTAATTGCCCTATACTTGTCTCGTGATGTTTTGTATTGATGTTGTTCACCGCTTTGAGTCGCCTGAGGGCTGAGAAAAGCGGTATATAAATAAAGTAAATTAATTAATTCTTGGGCTGGTTAGTAAAACATAATAAATCCCATTAATTCAATGGGTTTACTCAAGTCAGGACTAACAACAGGATTGAAGCCATAGTTTCCTGACATGATATGAGAAAACCTTTTATGTAATACACATTAAGCAAGATCATGTTTCCTTCCACTTTAGGTCTAGTGAAGTCAGCCCACTGGGACATTTCCTGGTGATGCAACAAAAAATCCTTCTACTAGTAATTTCGTGGTAATTGACTCCTGAATCCTAAGTGAATGCAAGAAGGCTGCCTTAAGAGGAAAGCAAGTCTGTTGATTGAGTAGAAGGCGTGAAAGAAATAACCCATCCAAAGGAAAACTAAAGACTATACCAAAACTTTAGATGTTCGTTCTCCTTTTCAGCCGCATTTCTCAGCTGCAGTGCCCGGTTCAGTTTCACCTCCACTGCGGCTGTGTTCTCCAGAGGGATGTATTTTGTCAGCATGTCTTCTCTCAGTTCCTTCACTCTCCTTTGCAGACGAGCGAGATGGTTCGAAAGAACATCAATGTCGAAAGAATCTTTGAAGTTGAGGCCTGTTAGGAAAAAAAGGGACAAAGCTTCTGGCCAACTTAAAACCATGACCAAGGCACACAGGCTGCCTGCCTGCCTGCCGCATACAAATATGGCTAAAATTTAAGTCATTACTGCTATTACGCTTTTTAAAAAGAGGATGGAGAGAACATTTCAGCCTACAATTCATGTGTTTGACACAGCAGGGCCAATGGGATTGCGGGAATTGTAGACCGAAGATATCTGAAGGTCCAAAACTGATTTAGGAGCCAAATGAGCATTCTGCCTTTGCTGAGGAAAAATCAAGGGAGCTGCCGGTGGTGTTATGGACTTTTCAAAGGAAATGTTGTTGCATTTACTATCATAGGTAAAGGTAAAGGTTTTCCCTTGGCCACAGTGGTCCACGCTCTTGTTACATCCCGAATAGATTACTGCAACGCGCTCTACGTGGGGTTGCCTTTGAAAACTGTTCGGAAACTTTAGTTAGTCCAACGGGCGGCAGCTAGATTAATCACCAGAGCGTCATACAGGGAACATACCACCCCTCTGTTTGGTCAGCTCCACTGGCTGCCGATCCAGTTCCGAGCCGAATTCGAAGTGCTGGTTTTGACCTATAAAACCCTATACGGCTCCGGCCCAGTGTACCTGTCCGAACGTATCTCCTTCTATGTCCCACCTCGGAGTTTAAGATCTTCTGGGGAGGCCCTGCTCTCAGCCCCGCCTCTATCACAAGTGAGGCTGGTGGGGACGAGGGACAGGAACTTCTCAGTGGTGGCCCCTCGCCTGTGGAACTCACTCCCCGGGGAAATTAGGTCATCAACATCCCTCCTCTGCTTTAGAAGGAAGCTGAAAACATAGATATGGAATCTGGCCTTTGGGTAATCTGGCAGACTGACAAGGTAATGACGACCAGAATTTTGGGAAGGACTATGGCAATGCTGAATGGACTTACGGATTTTAGAACTCAGTGAACATTGGCCATTAGATTGGCTTATTAGTTGTTATTGTATTAACTGAATGTTTTAACTATTGTGGTTATTGTTGTTATGTATTTTATCTGTTGAATTGTGGCATCGAATTGTGCCGGCTGTAAGCCGCCCTGAGTCCCCCCCCCCCCCCCCAGGGGGTTGAGAAGGGCGGGGTAGAAGTGCCCGAAATAAATAAATAAATAAATAAGTCCAGTCATGTCCGACTCTGGGGGTTGGTGCTCATCTCCATTTCTAAGCCGAAGAACCAGCGTTGCCTGTAGACACCTCCAAGGTCATGTGGCTGGCATGACTGCATGGAGCGCCATTACCTTCCTTGATCTACTCACATTTGCATGTTTTCAAACTTCTAGATTGGCAGAAGCTGGGGCTGACAGTGGGAGCTCACCCCACTCCCTGGATCTGAACCACCTACGTTGTTCATAAGCACTTCCAAGGTGGCCAGCATGACTGCATGGAGCGCCGTAACCTGTCATATAATCCAGTTCAAGGCAGGTAATCTGGATTTCATATGGCAGTGTGGAAGGGGCCTCGGTTTCTCCGTGAGAGACAAATGGCTCTTACCTGGAATCAGCTGAGCTGGGTTGATTTTCTTGGCTGGGGGTTTAATTTGTTTTGGTGAAAATGTGTCCCTTAAAGATCTCATTTTACAGATCAAGTTCTCAATTCTTGAAGAATTCTTCTCAATCTTTTTTATTCTAAAAAAAGGAAGGGCAAGAACCACTTAAGATTTCAACACCAAATGCACTGCAAAGTAATTATATTTTAAAGCAGAATTTTGTATGTTGAGAGGACTAGAATCCATGGGTGGAAACCCTGAATTATTTTTGAATACCTCAGGAAAGATTCAGAAAAGTTGTCCCAGAATACCAAAAATGAACAGATCACTTGCTCCACCTGTCAAAATAAGATATCTTAAAATAGTGTTCTTTTGAGAGGGGAGGAAGGGAATTTAGCTTATTTTACAATGTTATTTTGTAACTTTTTTTGCTATTTTATGTATCTTATTTTGATGTTACTTTTGCTTCTATACATTTTATTTTGCTGTATTGTAATTTTGGGCTTGGCTTCATGTTGGCTGTCCTGAGTCCCCTTCGGGGAGATGGTGGCGGGGTATAAATAATAATAATAATAATAATAATAATAATTCTTATTATTATTTGAAACATAACAAGATMAGTCCACAGCAGACAAGATCACTCTGCTGGCTGTTGTATTTGATCACACGTCGGACACTTCTCAAGTGTCTAGGACTGTGTGATGTATTGGCGAATAATGTGTGCAGATCCCAGTAAGGTGGCCTTTTGCAGCTGGCAGATGGTAATTTTGGCAGTGCCAATTGTGTTTAAGTGCAGGCCAAGGTCTTTAGGCACTGCACCCAGTGTGCCAATCACCACTGGGACCACCTTGACTGGCTTGTGCAGTTCGATCTTTAAATCCTCATATTGTGTCAGCTTTATTATTATTATTATTATTATTATTATTATTATTATTATTATTATTATTATTTGAAATTTAACAAGATGAGTCCACAGCAGACACTGTTGTATTGGATCACACGTCGGACACGTCCCAAGTGTCTAGAACTGTGTGATGTTTGGGAAAATTATTATTATTATTTGTGAACTTCTTTGTGAAACATTACAATTTCCATAGGGAGACCAAGGTGCTTGTTTATAAAGCTATTGCCCTCCCAACCCTGCTATATGCCTGTGAAACATGGATTGTCTACAGACGTCACACTCAACTCCTGGAACGATTCCATCAGTGTTGCCTCTGAAAAATGCTGCAAATCTCTTGGGAAGATAAGCAGACAAATGTCAGCGTGCTAGAAGAAGCAAAGACTACCAGCACTGAAGCAATGCTCCTATGCCATCAACTCTGCTGGACCGGCTACGTTGTCCGAATGCCTGATCACCATCTCCCAAAGCAGTTACTATACTCCCAACTCAATAACGGAAAACAGAAAGTTGGTGGACAGGAAAAGAGACTCAAAGATGGGCTTAAAGTCAAACTTAAATATTGTGCCATAGACACTGAGAACTGGGAAGCCCTGGCCCTTGAAGTCAGCTGTGACCAGCAGTGCTGCAGAATTCAAAGAGGCATGAATGGAAGGCAAAAGGGAGAAACGTGCCAAGAGGAAGACGCGTCAGGCCAAGCCTGATCGGGACTGCCTTCTACCTGGAAACTGATCTCCTAATTGTGGAAAAACATGTGGATCAAGAATAGGGCTGCACAGTCACTTACATATCAACCGCCAAGACACTACATCTGGAAGGCCATACTTAAACGAGGGATCGTTTCAGTAAGTAAAAGACAGTAAACTAAAATGAGGGCCCTGCTTGAAAAAATCCCTATTAGAATGAAATACCTACCTCCAAGGCTGGTACTATTTTCATCATTGCCATACTACTGTATATCTACTTAGGTAGGAGTAATTCAATAGGATTTACTTCCATTTGAGTTGTATGTTCTTATGTCACAGACTTATGCCTTGAGAGCACCTGCCCCCCAATAGTTTAATTCATTCCAAGAAACCCTTACTTCTCTTCCAGCTCGCTAATTCTCTTCTTGTAATACATAAGAGTGGTAGCTTCACACGCTAACATTTTTAATTTCCCATGAAGGTGGAAAGCGTTCTGTTGGCCCTTCTTCAGTGTTTCTATAAAGGCATCGTATTCCTGCTTGATCGTGGTCAGGATGTTCTTGTATGTGTTGACGTGCTCTATGATCTGTGTCAAATTAAGAGAGAAACTGGTTATTATTTATTTATTTATTTAAAACTTTTATATCCCGATCTGGGCATATTTATCATGCAAGAAAACACTCCATTCTCTTTGAGGGGAGCTCAGTTTTTCAAACATGCAGGGAAGAGAAGACTATAAGAAGAATCAAATCCTGCCAAGACAACCCCATTATGGGTTTGCTTTAGGTGTGCTATAAGTCGGGAAAAAGTTGACAGTACATAGAAATTATTCTATAGCTAAGAATTCTAAATACTCCTTCTTAAAAGTGCAAATCTCAGGATTTTATAGGAAGTTGCCATGGCAGTTAAAGTGGAATCATAAGACCGAAACGGTGTGTGCAATAGGGTTCAAGGTGAGCCCATAAATAGCCACATAACTTAGAATAACTTATTATAGTCCACTTAAAGTTATCTCTTGCTAAATGACTATAAACAACCAGGCAGGAAGCATCCAGGCTTTGAAGCTGGAAAGCTATTCAATGCTAATCAAGCTGGCCAACTGCAACATTCACACTTGCCTCAAACAGACAAGAGTTATTTTTCCTACCCTGGAAATTCCACAGATATATAAACTTCACTTGCCTAGTTTCCAATAATAATAATAATAATAATAATAATAATAATAATAATAATAATAATAATAACTTTATTTGTATCCCGCTACTATCTCCCCGAGGGACTCGGTGCGGCTTACATGAGGCCAAGCCCACAGCACATACAATAAACAAAAGCAATAACAATAATCAATACAAAACAGTTTAAATAAACTCAAAACAGAAAATACACAATAAGCAATAACAATAACGTATTGCAACATACAGCATTTAAAAACCTATGGCCGGGCCAAATGTAATAATTCAAATTTAAAATCAAAAAGTGCTGGCCACGAGCAAAGTAAGACAAATTAAAATAGGGTTTTCTGAGAAAGATGAGGGCACGCAGACAACCCTAAATCAATATTAAAGTGCATTTGAGGACATATTGCTAAGGGTTTTCCTTATTCTGGGAAGGCACACTGGAACAACCACGTTTTCAGACTCCTCCTAAAGACTGCCAGCGTTGGGGCAGTCTTTAGGAGCGTTTCCAACCAACCTCACAATCCTCTGAGGATGCCTGCCATAGATGTGGGTGAAATGTCAGGAGAGAATGCTTCTGGAACATGGCCATTCAGCCCAAAAAACTCACAGCAACCCACCCGCCCCAAAAATTGGTATTTTTTTATACCCAATAGAAAACTTCTCTAGATATCTCTGAGTCCTCTAGTATGACTTTATGATCAAGTTTGCAGTGAAGAATCAAGATTTATAGAGAGAATACAGTGTTCCCTCACTCCGTTCCAGGACCAAACACGATAAGTAAAAATCCGTGAAGTAGGGACGCCATATTAATTTTAAGTTTTATGTTTTGAACTATTAAAACAGCCAGAAAGTAAGTGCTGTTTTAATTAAATTGTTTAACACAAACTGGGACTTTGTTTGGTTCATCTTTGTTTGGAACAAGCCCTATGAGGAGCGGCTTAAGGAGCTGGGCATGTTTAGCCTGAAGAAGAGAAGGCTGAGAGGAGATATGATAGCCATGTATAAATATGTGAGAGGAAGCCACAGGGAGGAGGGAGCAAGCTTGTTTTCTGCTTCCTTGGAGACTAGGACGCAATGGAACAATGGCTTCAAACTACAGGAAAGGAGTCTCTTCCAACTCTTTGATTCTATGATTCTACCTGAATCAGGCAGAGCACTGGCATCGTGACACATAGCCTTCTCCACCAAACTACACTAGCGCCTCACCAAACGACAATTCCCAGGACTCTCTAGTATTGTACCATGGCAGTTAAAATGGCATCAAATGCATTAATTTTACAGTGTAGAATCATTAATTGTTCTGAAGCTGTGAATTATAGTTTCCTTGTTCAAACAAAATGGGGAATTCATGGGTAATGGGAGACCTTTGCTTAAAAAAAAAGGGAGGGAGGTTCCAAACCTTGTCTCTCATAAATGGGTGCACATGACTACTTTCCATCTATTTCAAGGAAATCACAAGACACACACCCTGAAAAGTGATTTTAGCTGTGGTGGCTTACCATTTCAAACACATTTCTGTATATAACGTAATACTCCTCAGCTGGCCCTTGCTCAGTACAGCCCACTTTCTCAATTTCCGAAATTATGTAACTCTGGATGCTCTCCAGGAATTTCTTCTCATTCTCGGGGATGATGGGAGGCAGCACTGAATGCTTGCTTGCTTTGGCACTGGATGCCTTCATGGCGGAAAAGCGAGCTAAGCTTCCCTTGTAGATGGGATCGAAAGCATCCGTTGGGTTTTTTGGATGGAAAACATGCTTCGGACTAAAGCCTGAAAGAAAAAATGAAAACTACTAGAATAACGAGAAATTAATCAAACTGTATAATTGTAAGCATTCTAGTGAAACAGCAAATCCCACAATTTTCAGCCCAAAGGGGATGGTCCTTTTAATTCAAACTGCTCAATTATTTAAATTGGGTAATTAGGAATTGTTTGCCAAGTTTGGTCCAGATCCATCAAACTAAGGAGCAGTCTTTTGTGGTACAAATAAATACACATACTCGGCCGGGGGGGGGGGGGGGGGGGGGGAATATATCTCATATAATATACAGTAGAGTCTTGCTCATCCAATATAAATGGGCTGGCAGAATATTGGATGAGCAAAAAATGTTGGATAATAAGGAGGGATTAAAGAAAAGCCTAATAAACATCAAATTACATTATGATTTTATAAATTAAGCACCAAAACATCACGTTTTACAACTAATCGACTGAAAAAGCAGTTCAATACATGGTAATGTTATGTAGTAATTACTAAATTTACAAATTTAGCACGAAAACATCGCAATGTATTGAAACAGCTGTGAATCCGGGCAGGAGGCAGGCTGCGTTTGATAATACAGAATGCTGGATTAGCGAAAGTTGAATAAGTGAGACTCTACTGTGTATATATATTGCATTATGTGTATATTTATTTATTTACTGTATTTGTATACCGCCTTTCTCAGCCTATCGGCGGCTCAAGGCACACACACACACATATATATATGTCTATATCTATAGGTAAAGGTAAAGGTAGTCCCCTGACATTAAGTCCAGTCATGTCTGACTCTGGGGTGTGGT